TTGTATAAAGATAGTTTTAGACATTAAGGTTAAAATCTCCAACTAGTATTATAATCCTGTGCAACTAGATCATAAGCTCCCTTGGCAACATATTTTAGTAGAATTCCTGCAGCCACATGGAACTCATCTCATACGTTTTCTAACAACTACACGTTGAGAGCCTTAGGGTCAGACATGCAGTATGAATGAATGGCCCTTCAATTTTCGGATACTTTTCAGTTTGCATCTCCACTGTGAACTAACTGCTTGACATCAACCTGATCAAGATACACATATACACACACTCAGAATTTGATTAATCTTGGTCTCTTCTGAATGTGAAGATCCCATGATATGCCATTTTTTTTTTTTTTTTTTTTTTTTTTCCCTGGAGCTTTGAGTTTTGTTATCTGAATTCTGAGAGAAAAATGGATAAAGCAGTGGCTGGAGTTTCTCCAAATTTGGGACTGGGGATGCATGAAAGTATACAGGATGGGGAACATATGGTCCCTGCTAGATGGTGTTTGTGCAAACACGTTGAACTCTTATGTGAAGGGTTTGGTGTGTGTTTAAAATGAAACCCATGTGTACAGAACATCTAAGGTAGATATTACTACTGTCAAGTTATACACGGATTTTGTAGAGCCTCAGTGGATCTTCTGGTACTGAAGGGTCTCTGAGCAAATACCAGAGCACTGGGACAAAGTAATAAATCACAAGGAAAAGTAGTTGAAAAAACCCCCAACTTTGCTCTACAGTCAAGAATTTTTTTTTTTTTTTAATACAGAAAGTAGAATGAAATAGACTTATTTGTGAGTGTATTCCCTGATATATGGAGAGAGGTACCATTCTGGTATCTTTCTTTTACAAACACAGAAAACATGTTACATTTTTTTCTAATATTCTGCAAGTTGTTTGCAACATAAAAAGATGCACATTTTGGAATGTAGAGTAAAAGCTGTACAATGGAGAACATAGGGAAAACTTGGATGTTTTCTGTCCCATGCAATTACCAGATGTTTGTCATGGTAACCCTTGAAAAGCTCTGACCAGAAAAGCATTCTTAGGAGGCTGGACATCATGCCAGCTGGCCATGTAAATCTTGCAATATCCAAAATAAGTTTGATCACCACCTGTTGCTACTTTAAAAAAAAACAGGACAGAAACAAAAAAAAGTCTGAACTAAGATAACACCTAGAATAATCTAAAATTATACACATAATAACTATCTATTTGTTCTATGATATTTTATCCATTTTTTTTCCATTGCTGTGATACCTGGATGTATCTGGACTTAATAGATTACATAACAAAGTTTCTACTGGATTTGGTGGAAAGTTTAATTGGAATCAGTTTTTTAAAATATCTTTTTAGAGCAGGATTTTGAGGGGGTGTGTAAAGTATCTATACTTGTAATAGAACATACATCCTGATTATAAGGGAAAAGTTGAACAGGAAAAAAATTAAGAAAATAGAATCCAGGATGTTAGTTATTACTGTGGCTGTACTAGCACAAGGAAAAGTGGCATTGTCCTGTGACTCAGACATTGCTTTATATTGCTGTGGTACAGCAGAGAAAAGATCAGTGAAAGCCTTTGAATCATGTTAGTTCTTATGCATCCATTTATAAGTGTAGTAATTGAGTTGTTGGTCACAGATGCAGAGGAGTCAAATTCTTTTGAAAGGAAATAGTTTGCTGTGATTATTAGGAGACTCTCCTGTAAAGAAACACCTCATTGAGGAAGTTAGCTTTTACAGGCCCTGAGAATGAGCTCTTAAACACTGAGAACTAGTCCTGATGGCCAGTGCTCCACTTAAGGAAGAATGGTGGTCCTGGAGGCATATTCAGGAGGAACAGAGTATATATGAATTTTGTTAATTCTTCCCATGAAGAAATTTTTTTCATGGGATGCCATTGTATCTTGCAAGTATAAGACTAAAAGGAAACAATTTCTTCAAATATTTGTATAAACAGTGTCCATATGTGACAGTGAGAAAAGGCACTGAGAAGGTCTGTATTTTGGGGGGAACTCTGAAATTCACAGTATAAGTGGGAATTTGGCAAAGACAAGAAAAGACATGACTGAGGCTGAGTTGTAGGAGAGATCTAATCTACTTAGTGAATAATATTTGGTAGGAGTCTAACTGAGGGCAAAATCTTGCTATATCTGACCATGAAGTGGAATAGCAGACAAATGAAGCACATCATGCATTATTTTTCTTTCTGTCTGTCTAAGATATTTGAAAGAAAGACTTGCCCGAAGTGTCAATAATGTCTTTGCTGCTTAATCACAGAATCACATAATGATTGAGGTTGGAAGGCACCTTTGGAGGTCATCTTGTCTAAGTCCCCTGCTGAGGCAGAGTCACCTACAGCTGGTTGTCCACAATCATGTTCAGTTGGCTTTTGAATATGTCCAATGAAGGAGATTCTACAACCTCTATGGGTAACCTAGGCCAATGCTCAGTCACCCTCACAGTAAATAAGTGTTTCCTAGCGCTCAGACAGAGCCTCCTGTATTTCAATTTTTGCCCATTGCCTCTTGTCCTGTCACTGAGCACCGGTGAAAAGAGCCTAGCTCTGTCTTCTTTAAAGCCTGCCTTCAGCTCACTGGTGACAGATGTCATTGAGAGGCCACTCTCAATTATCTTCAAAAGATCATGGTGATCAGGAGAGGTGTCTGAAGACTGAAGGAAAGTGAACGTCACTCCTATCTTCAAAAAGGGCAAGAAGGAGATCCCAGGGAACTACAGACTAGTCAGCCCCACCTTGATCCCTGGGAAGGTGATGGAACAACTAATTCTGGAAACTATTTCCAGTGACTGACCACTGGCACAAGTTGCCCAGTAAGGTTGTGGAGTTTTGCACCTTCGAGATAATTCAAAACCCATCTAGACACAGTCCTTGGCAACCAACTCTAGGTGAGCAGGGAAGCTGGACAAGATGACCTCCAGAGGTGCCTTCCAACCTCAGTCATATGATACTGTGAAAGCTCTGGTATGGGAAGTATGCATCACCCTTTGTGTTTTCTTTTAAGTTACTTAAGTTTTAAGTAACTTAAGTTACCAAAAAGTAAAGTGCTTTGAAAGTATAAATCAAATATGTATTCTATGACTTGTCCTCCTTTGCCTAACCTTAGAGTCATATATGTTAGAATATTGTATTTAAGAGGAGACTGAGGTAGCTAGTATTCTCCTTTACTGTCAGTAGGAAGCTTGAAGAGAAGCAGGTTATTCAATGACGCAAATGAAGCCATTGGTTATTGAAAGTCTCTGAATACTCATGCAAAGCTATGTAAAAACTGAAGATGAAGAATATTTTTACATCTTAGTCACAGTAGTTGACTGTCTTTGTAAGTTGCTTCTCTTTGAACTGTAGTGTTCTCTTAAATTGAGTTATTTACAACAGGTTTAGGGTAGAATTGGCTTGACATGAAAGATCTGGTTACTGTATACTCAAAATGCCCATTGTTATCAGTAGTTTTCTTATACAGAAGTTCAGCCAAATATATACTATCTGTGAAAGTTCAGAGTTAGACTCTGTAAAATGATGTATTTTCATGCATTCAGAAGTGTCTTATTTTATGCTTTACTAAGTGATAGTTATTGGATTGGTCACAAAGTAATGTTTTTGTTTAAATATGCCTGTTTCACCTAGGTGAATAAAACCATATTGACATTCAGTTCATTCTTACACATACATTCGTGCATAAAACAGAACAACGTGGTATAAAAATTTAGAGATTTCTGCACATGGATTCAGTCAATCAAACTAACATAGCATCTGTGATTTCACTAGCCAGGAAAAAGTGTATATCACAGATGTTGGCAGGAGATGTTACTGTTTCAAATTTGTTCCTGGACCAATCATAGATAAAAAAAAAGTATATGTGACATCTGTATTATGGCAAAGTGTATTAATTTGTTTTGTAAGGAGAGGGGCAGGTTGATAGCATTCATAATAAAGGCTAAAGAAGAATACAGATTATTGTAAATCTTTTTTTGAAATTATACCTTATGGGTATAAAAATAAAGCTCTGAAATGGTATACATATGTAAATGATAATTCTGAACAGGGTTGAAGGTTGTATTAAAATGTCTTTTAGCATTGAAGCAACTCTAAATACTACTTTTTTCCTTAGTTTTGTTGTGACCACAAAGCTATCACAGTTCTTTACAACCATGGAATTTTTTTAGATGGATATTAATCTTCATTTCATTAAAAACATTAGTATATTTAAATGGGCCAGATGTACTCAGCTATCAAAAACTTACTCCATAATGCTACCTTGCGATATTTAACATGAAAAGTAGGAAATTAATTCCCTGCATTAAATTTAAATGCATTCCTTCCTTTAGACTGTACTAATGCAGATATGTAAAAAGTTATCTATGGTTGTAGGGTAGATAGCTAGATTTATCAGTTTGGAATGTCACTTGGATATTGCCTTTCTTGAATTTACAAGATACAATAAATCAGTGCATGGAGTAGGAATGTAAACAGAGCAACACAGTTTAAATATCCAGCTTTGTGTATCAGAAAAGCAAACAATAATTATTTATGTTATGATTCTACATACTGGATCTTCATTTAATATAGACTACTTGAGGGAGATTTCTAAGGCTTCACAGAGCAGACTGGCTTTCACAACACCCTCCCCTTAATGAAGGGGAGTTCAGCTTTCCCTGCTGAGATGACTAACTAGGGGTAGCTTAATGGTAGGCATCACAGCTCCTCATTTCTAATATTTATTAATGATGTTTCTGTCTTTGTAAACTAAACAAGGGAAAAGCATGACTTTGGGCACTGTCCTGGGGTAGTTTCAAGTGTTCATTTTATTTTTAGTCCTTAACATTCTTTAATGTCTTTCAGTTTTGACAAACTTATACTGCAGAGATATTTAAAAATTAATTTGTGGATTTGCCATAGTAAATTTGTAGACTAAGAAAAACAGATGAGAAAATGGCAGTAAAAGAGCTAGCTTTTAGTTGGTGTTAATAAGACTGAAATTTCTCTGAAGGTGTGAACGTCATTTTGAAGGGCACAGTAGCCGCTGCTATCCATGTGGAATTGCAGTATCACCTTGTGGACGGTTTATAGCCAGTGGATCAGATGACAAATGTGTAAGTAATGTTTTTGTTTATTTTCCTCCTAAACTATAGGAGCTACTCATATTGTACACAAAGTAGTCATCTTATGAATGTTTCTAGGATTCAGCTTAATGTGCAAGACTGAGATCTATTATACTTTCATATACTTTGTTTATATGTAGCAGCTACATATGATTCTTGGTCTGTGTGTTCTTTATTTTCCCTGAAAAATCCCTGAACAACCAAATCTTCAGTAAGTGCTGTATTGTTGGCACAAGGTTTTTTCTTGGTGTTTGCTAAGAGATAGATGATTGCTAGCTTGGAGTATAGGCCTTTGAAACTGGCCTGGGGTTGAGTTCATTGTAAACACATCCTTTCAAAACAACTGGGTAGGAAATCTGTTTAACTTTCTTCTAGGTCTTTCTAGGTGACTCATCAGGACTATGACACAGGGTTTCTGGTCAACTTCAAATTCAGAACGAAAGGAATTTACTGTTGTGGCTAGTGTTGAAATAGTGAATCAAATCATGTGTGGAGGTTAGAGATTTTATTGGCAGATTGCTGGAGGTTTGGCAATAGCTAATGTGTTCTCGATGTTTCCATGATAAAATATATTTTTCAAGTTTCTGGTAATTTGCATTTCAAAATGTAGTTTGCAATACAAAAGAAAGGCTTTTTGCTTTGTCTATGAAACAAAATGCATCTAATACTGATCTTTGCTCATCATGTATATAAATATCTAGTCAAGATTACTAATTAAGGTTGATTTTGAATAGTGTAAAAAGAAGTGCAGTCACAAGACCTTTTGTCTTCTCTTTTGCATTAAGGCTATTGTTCGGAATTACTGCTGATCCAAGAAAAGAAAGGCATAGAGCACAATTTTGCCCTTACTCCAAATTCTTGGTACATGGTTGCTCATCATCCTGCTCCAGTTGGCATGTGGTCCCTGGTGGGCACAGTACCAGTCAGTACTTTTTAGTGTGGCTTCTAGGTTGGGATTTTGCATAATTGGCATTGCAATGTCTGTAGAGAACTTTAATTGTTCTTGTTGTACCCTGAGGAAAACTGAGTCAAGTTTCAGACTTTTGCTACAACTGTACTGTTAGGACAAAATATAGTTCTGAGGCATTTTTAGGAGGCTTCTCTTTGAAATATTGAGAATGGATATACTTTTGTGTTTCCTTCTGAAAAAGAAAATTGAACATGGCACGGAATAGTCCATTCATATTGTTAAACTAATAACATCCTGACAGATGGACTGATGCACAACTGGAACAGTTTTAAGAGTATCAAGAAGTCACATATTTTTGCAGATTGTATTCTATGAGTGAATGTCCATTGGAATTCAAAAAACTGCATAAAAATTCAGCAGTGTGTATAAAAAGTGTAATCTTGAAATACTGCATTCTGGAAATAAGTTATGTAACTTTCCACTGACCAGCAACTGCATCTTCAATCATCTTGGAGTTTAATTTATCAAGCGCAATGCTTGCACCCTGTGGTTAACAAATATCATTGATTTTAAAGCCAAAAGACACAGAATTGGAATATAATTGAGAGACATTAATCTTAAACTGCCTTTTATATTTCACAATATCTGAAGTGTTTGACAGAGAAATATGTTGGCTGCATTGATTAATAGCAAAATCAAAACCATATTCCTACAGGGCATAGAATCAGAAAACCAAAATATGTTATTGTAAACAAAGAGATGCAAATTCTGCCTGCCTTTTTCTTTACTTATAAAATAGGTCATATACTTTGTATGAGAACAGTTTGGTATAGCTTCTGTGTCGCTGAAGTAGCCACTTATTTTTATTTGAACTGCTTTTGTTTGTTAGTATGAGACTTGTACATACTGTAAATCATGGTTTGAAAATGTTCCGCTAACTGATTATCCCAACTTCTTTAAGAGAACCTTTGTCAAGACATGTGTAGGGCCTGACAGTCTGATAAAAGCAGGTACCTGCATGTCGTGGTTTAACCGCAGTCATCGCGCACACAAGCAAGACAAGGAATTTATTCACCACTTCTCATCAGCAGGAGGTGTTCAGCTATCCCCAGGACAGCCAGGCTCCATCATAAGTAAATGTTACTTGGGAAGACAAATGCCATAAATCCCTTCCTTCCCTTCCTTCTTGTTCCCCAGCTTTATATGCTAAGCATGATGTCATATGGTATGGAACATCCCTTTGGTCAGCTGGGGTCAGCTGTCCCAGCTGTGTCCCCTCCCAGTTTCTTGTGCACCCACAGCCTGATCGGTGGTGGGATGGGGTGAGAAGCAGAAAAGGCCTTCATGCTGTGTGAGCACTGCTCAGCAATAACTAAAACGTCCCTGTGTTACTGTTTTCAGTACAAATCCAAAATATAGCCCCCTACTAGCTACTATGAAGAAAATTAACTCTATCTCAGTCAAAACCAGCACACCACAGTATCTTGGTTTTGAACTGTGATTATCATTTCCATAATTCATTGTGATTAGAAAATATAAGAATTTGCCATTTCTAATAGCAGATCTTCTCTTCATCTTAAATAGCCTAAGGGTACAAGTGACGTGGGTTGACTTTTTCTTAACCAAATACACATAATATTTTAATTCCTAACTACTTTACAAGTGGACAGTTTGAGGTTTCTGACTATCAGACAGTAGTATTAAGGGTGCTGGACAAATACTCTAAATGGGTTTAGATTTCAGTTTTCCTGAGCTCTTTACAAAATGATCACCTAAACATTTGTTGACCAAAGAAATCTTAGTCTAAAAAGACAAAAATATCTGGAGAGTGTGAAATGTTACTTTTTAAAACAGGAAAAGCTAATATTCTCCTTTGCTCCGTGTAGTTCTAGTTAGCTGTTTTACTTCACATCTAATTAGGTTCTTAATTTTTTTCTTTGAAGACGTTAGGGCATTTTGAATAAATTCCAAGTTTCCAGAAATGAAGTAGAGAATGCAGATAAAGATTTGGTTGTTTGTTTTCACATTAATTCTTGCTAGCTCTCTCTTTGAAGTTTAAGGGGCACATTTTGACCCTGGTGCTGAAATGGAATTTGCTAACATAAAACTCTGTGTCCATGTTAAATCTCAAAGCTTGGGCTCATGGTTCACGCTGACTGACCCATAATGCAAACCCAGAATTTTTTCAGCATAACAGGTTGCTACACCAATAACAAAAACTACATGGGTTATGTATGAAGTTGTCTTCTGTTTTATTTATACTTTTCATCAAAGTATAGGATTTTGCCTATTATAATAATTCTGCACCCTGCCAAACCTAAGTATGTTATAAAAGTAAAAGCAACCTAAATACAGAAGTGCTTTGTGCTACATAAACTCTACAGGCAGACAAATAAAACCAATCATGTACATAAGGCTTTGAAATTGACCAGTTAATTAGAAAACTAAAATCAGGAAAATTATAAATTGGAAGCTTCTAAGAAAGGCAGCTTACAGAGGCAAATCTGAGATATGGTTTAGATCTATTATGTAATCTTTTTTTAGTGAGGAAATTTCAAACTGTTAGCTATCACTGCCAGCATACTGATACATTTGAAAAGTGTCCTCTAAATCTTGAAAGATGACTGATCTTGATAATGTTAACTGCTTTAATAATAAAGAGCATTATTAATGTTAACTGTTACTGCTTTTGTAGTTATGTTGAAGGAACTCAGATGGAAACTGGGGTCTTACTGTAGTGGGCAGTTTCATGTGACTACCAGAATGACAGCCTCCATAAGAGGCGTTAGAAGGCAAAGGGACTCAGAGGACATACGGTACTCAACTTTTGGTGACATGCTTGAATAGACTTTCCATGCTACCATGTGGCAAGTGTTTAAGATATCTTGGGACTGAAAAGTGCTAATCAGTGCTTAGGATACTTGTGAAATCTGTTTTATTATGTGTGGATTTGGCACTGATGCCTATAGTTAAGGTAGTCTAACACTTTCCACTATAATTCTGTTTTCAGTTGCTTATAATTGAGAACATTTTGGGGCTGAAACTTTCCATGCTGGGTTTCTGCTTCAGGCTGATTATTATTTTTCATTTTAGTATAAGTAGTTCAGGTGCTTCTTCAGATTGATGCTGAGAAAAAATACATGGTTCAGTGGGAGATGTGCCCCAGTGTAAACAGGGGGTGGTGAAGTGCAAGCCAAAAAATTAAATCATGTAGTGTGGGAGTATGCATCAGGTTTGATGGCACTAATGGAGGCAAATGGAGACTAATGCCTTATTAATAAATCCAGATGTTTTTCATAAAAGTGTAAGAAAAAATATTTATTTATTTTTCTATCAAGAGGCTTTAACACTTCCATCTTCTATAGTTCATTTGAAATATTAGAAAAAATAGATTCAGAAAAGGGATGACTGGCCAATCCATGCAAAACTTATGAAGAAAAAAATGTCTAATTTTGTACGGTCAAATTAGGTATCTTAGATATTGGTGGGTGTTTTGTTTTGTTTTGTTTTGTTTTTTGTTTTGTTTTGTTTTGTTTTTTCCTGTGACCTGTTTGTAAAATATGTGCTCCACTCTTTAAAGCCACAGCAGTTATGAAGGGTTTCTCTTGAAACTGGTGTTGCTTTTCTAGTCCCTGGGCAAGGGCTGATGAAAAGTAGAATCTTTTTGTAATGCATTCAGTGTTTCTCTTTCTGATTTTCTTGCCCTTCTTTCCCTTTCCAGGAGGGAGTAGGAGTGTAAGTAATTTGACTCAAATGCATATGGACATGGATTGGACTAGGGAGCAGTGGGAACAGATGGGGACAAGTTTGCTTTGAAGACAGAGTATAAGAAAACAGAGGAAAGAATTTATAGTGAAACTCTGCAGATAAAGAGTAAATTTATTTAGCACACTCTGTCTACAAATGCAGTAGAACTAAGTAGTTTTCCATTTGGATACAAATTCTTCTCTCAAGAAGGGACTTTCACCCTTCTTCCCTGTCTCCTGCTACAAATTTAAGAAGAATGCACAACCTTGTAAATACATGTAAGGTGCTAAATACACTCTCACACTGTGGGTTAGTGAAAACTGACTACTCCAAA